TAGTCACTGCCTTTGATCGGCTCTCCGCCCAGGTCAATTACCTGGTACATCAAGGAGAAACTGTGAATCTGTTCTTGTCTCACAGAGACAAAAAATGCAATGTACAGTCCTCAACACTAGTTCTTATTTTACATTGAGAGATAAAATATTCAATTATGTTTATTTCTGCTGTGTAGATCAAGCCAAAGTCAGTATGGACATCACGGACGCATATGAAAACATGACTGAAAAAAGAAAATGTAAAGTTGAATGACAATCTGTTGTCAACTCATTTTTAAAAAACACAACTTCTAATGTCTGCAGGGTGCTCGAAAAAATATTTCCTCTGAACGAGGAAGGTAAAGAGTTACCAAACACAAAGGAAAAAACATGGAGATTACCTCCTGGTAAATGAAAGGTTTAGTTCCTGCAGAAAACCATTTAGTATTTAGATTTTTCAGCTTGTCCAGAAATGCTCTTATGTCCCCAGGCCACATATGCTTGGCAGCATCAATTCGGAAGCCTGCTACACCAATATCAATGAGGTAGTTCATGTACTCAGCAACTTTTGAGCGTACATAGTCCTTCTCCAGGGCCAGATCAAGAAGGCTAACCAAGCGACAGTCTCGGACCTGTGCAATGAAATAAAAAAAGAGCTTTGAGGTGCCACTCTGTCAGCTTGTAAAACCTTTCAATGAAACATTTGCATGTTTCCAGCCACAGAATCAATTCTTTTTGGATATCTAATTTGCATAGATGAGAATTATGCCAAGGTCTGCACCAAGACATAGGTAAATTTACTATACCGCTCAGTACTCAAGTTAGGACAGTTGGTGAAGGGTATCACCTCCCTGTGCAGATGTCTTCAGAACTGAGGATGAGAAATGGCATGATGTATTGTTGCAAAGTCACCAAAGGAAGAGCAGTAACCTTGAGAAAGAACTGCCACACATTCCGTCTACAAAAAAAGAGTAAGTCGCTCAACCAGGGTACCACCTTGCACTGCTGTCAATTTTCCAAGAGGACTTCTTTATCAAGATCAGCTGAGTTTAAAAGCCATAAGAAAGAACTCACCAGCTGAGCTGAGTACACTGGGCTCAGTTCAGGAGCAAATTCCTGCACATGCCCACATGAAACATGCAGGGAACATTCTTGATTTCTCAGTACTTAGAATATTTTGCACAACAAGTACCTTTCCCGTGTGTAAGTTCACTACTTCATTCACTTAGGTGACTAAGCACAGGTTTTGTGAGAAACTACTCCGTTTGGCCTTACTGTAATGTTTACACAACAGGTTAGAAAAAAAAAAAAAAGGAAAAGATTTCAACCTTTTGCCAGAGAAAGTTACCTGATACATATCACCATAATTTTCAATTTCTCCACTTGCAGTTTGACATTTGCCATCATTGAAATCCCAGCCAGAGTATGGCACAGCTGGGAAATCTCTATTCCCAGCATTAAAATAGCTTCCACAGGTAGAATGCGTGCCTGAGCCACCTGCAGCCCCACACATATGGTTGACAACAGCATCCACATAAATATGAACCTGGAAAAGCAATAAGTGCATTTCAGTATGTTTTCTAATGATGGTGAAGTGATAGCCAGAGCTTTACCACATCACTGTTAATTCAATATTTTTTTCCTCTTCAGTTTATTCTCAGTTTCTGCCTCCGTTGAGGACAGTAGCAGTAACTTCCCTCAGCTGATACAGCACTTCTTGCTGCATCAGATAGATACAGATTTTCAAGGCACTTACTCCAACATTGTTGCATCTGGTCACCATGTCTCTGAATTCATTTTCATTTCCTGATCGAGTGCAGAGTTTGTAGCTGACAGGCTGGTATCTTTCCCACCAGGGTCTGTTTGGGTTAGTAATGACAATATTTTCGTTTGGAGGTGAAACCTACAGATGAAACGATGTACTTACTTACTTTGATAAGAAATCAATTGGTTTTATTTCAACATTTTAAGGATGAAATCTGCACTCTGCACCTCTGCTCTCAGAGGCAGGCTAGTGCCCAACCCAGTCTCTCTCCCACAGAGTAAGCTCAGGTCTGTGAGATATCCATCTTATAGACTGGCAAGAAGTAATTTTTCTTTCTTTTGTTCCTGTGGGCTGCCCAGGTCCAGCATGGGCCTGCTTTCAAGGACACATGCATGGGAGGGCTGAAGCCACGGGAATTCTTTTTACCTGGAATAGTGACATCCTTAGGAGAGCCAAGACTCAATGCTAATGCACTTCCCTCGGAACAAGGTAAAAAGGAAAACTTAGTTTTGCAGGGGAAGCATTTCAGAGGAAAGTGTGCCCCTTTGTAACTGATCTGCTAGATATACAATGATGTCATTCATTGGCCCTGCAGGCTGTAGGGTTGTGTCTAACAGCAGTTACTACTTCCATTGCCCCTTTCCAACACCAAAGTTACTTGGAGCTGGTGGTCTCCGATTCAGGCATTTTGATTTATTAATTAAATGCTACAATGCCATTTTGCTACCTACTCACAGGAAACAACTTACCTGAACTCCTCCAAATCCATTAGGAGCTAAATAGCGTTCACACTCAAGAGCAATATCAGCCCAGCGCCATTCAAAGAGATGTACAATAGACGTCCTCCCAGCCTGAGTGTTGGCATTATATTGCCCCCAGCAAAACCCTGCAGCTGCGAGTAGGAGGAAGACTTGCATGGTGCCGTCAGTATAAGGCTGTGGTCTTTCCACTGACAATTTATACTCCCGCAAGATGGCAAAGTTCCTATTGCAGCTGTCAAAATTCACATAGATCTATGCTATCAGTTATTACTTGGCTAGCTAGCTCGATATCATTCTTTTGTTTTGGTTTTTTTCCTGGATTGCCCAACAGCTGAAGATAAAATACCTTTTCACAATGATTATACATTATCATAAACCAAGTGGTCTACAAGTAGCGCACTCAAATTCAGAACTGTACTCTTTCCAATCATGTAAACACAGACACTATCAAAAGTATTCCAAAACATAACACATAGACCCTCAAAGCAGGCTCTGGAAAGTAAGAGGAAAGGGAGGTGATTAAAAGACAACTGGAAATCTAACCGCTCTAGGAGAATGAATAAGTAGGCCAGCATTCAGAGGCATCTAGCTCTCAGGATTAGTCTGAGCTCAAACCACGGTGCCTGCTCAGCACTTGCAGTCAATAACAGATGTATCACATAACACATCATAGGTCTTCACCAGGTGAATCACACCGATAACTAGAAACTGACCTCTTTTCATGCCTGAAGTTTTTCTAGTGTTGTTGTGCAGTCCCTGCTAGAAACTGTTACCAGTTTTCTTCACACAGTTGTGCAGAGCAACTGTTGTTCTACCTGATTGAAAGTGATCAGAGCTGCGTTTTCCTCTCCAACAGAGACTCTGCATAAGGTTTAATCTCTTTAAATGATCGATGATTCATCTGAGTCAAGGAAGGAGACCCAAAATCAGATGTAAAGTGATATTGCAGATGTCTTTCATCTGCCTGACATGAACCTGAATTTGAAAGCCAGAGCTGTTGCCCAAGTCCCTTCTCGCTTTTCCTACAATTTCCTCCTTCAAAAAAAAACCTTCTGACTTTTGCTCATGATGTAATTTCAGGTCTTCATTTGGAACTGACTTATAAGATGATCAAGGTCTCAGCAACAGCACTCCACGAATAATCTGGAGTCATGCTAATGATAACACAACACTCTCAGAGAATACAAACACCAGAAAATCCCTGGCATTTGATGAATATTGGTAAGAGAAATGAAAAGTCCACAAAATTACACATCTACTCCAAGAGAAAAGAAAACCTCAGTGTACTTTGTACCTGAACTGCCTCTAGCATGTTCTTTCTGAAACTAGCTGTGCCATTGAATATGTCACATGCATCCTTCTCTTTCCCAGAACTTGTCTTCAAGGACGAAATGCAGAAGCAGGTCCCATTTGCCCACCTGTTCATTTCATATCACAGACCTTATCAAAAGTCTCTGTTTCCACTACAACAATGAAATAGTAAATTACTGAAAATGGCCTTACCTACTCACTAACAGCAAGGATACAGCAAGATGTTTGCACCTTGTGATTACCAATTCACTAAGAACAGGACCTGCCCCCATTCCTCAATATTACCAAGAGCAACCAAATGTGCCTGAGGTTAATTTTTACATCGCTATTCCCTGTTGGTTTCCGTTGATGTGATGCCATGTCACTGCGTAACATTCAGCTTCCAATGACATGCATTTTCCACTGAAAAACACTGCTATCAGCCAAGGAAAGTAAGGACCCATCCTTGATAGCCTGATGCAATGGATGGCCAACTCACTGGCAAGTGGACTGTGAGCCTCAAGTGACAGGCTATTCAGCAGCTCAAGCTGAACAGGTTGCAGTACCATATCACACTGCAGAAATGCATGAGAGCAGGAGAGAAGGTGGCTGTCCGGCACTGACAATTTATGAGTTTCAAACTTAGTATCTCTTTCAGTATGGTAAAAACATCAAGTATGTAATAAAATGGCTCTGATTTTCAGGGGAGTTTTAAGGGAGTTGGCACTTTGGGCAGATGAGACATTGGAGGGGTGTTAACTTTGTTTTGAAATCCCATGTGTTAATCTATTTGATTGCCTAGTATAATTTGAAACTTGTTTGCGAAGAACTGGAGGATGTGGGCTCTAGACATAGAAATGAGACCCTTTTAGTTGCAAGCTTTTACACTCAAACCTAGAGGTTTGAGTAACCTCTAGGTTACTCTTACATGGCCTGCTCTTACATGTCCCTATGTGGTCACAGCACAGCTCTGTCAATCAAATACACAATACCATGCTGCAACAGCAGCATTTTCCCAATACTCTGCTGCAGTGTCAATGCATACACAAGACTTACCAGCATGTAACTTACTTAACAATAAACCCCTCCAAAGGAAGAAGGCTGAGAGGAGACAGGCAGGAGTGACTTGCCCATGAAGCTCAGGGAATAATGCAGGCTGTGACTGTCCACAGGTGTTGCAAAGAATGCTGACTTCATCTCAACACAAAGAGGGCTGGAGGGCAGCCTTTATTTTACATAAATAGCTGTGTCAGTTGAGTGCATCAGCTGGTAGTACAACTATTCATCCCTGAGTTAGTTAATTAAAAGAGTGTGAATGTCTCCCTGGTTTAGCCAGACCAGCATGGGGAGGAGTGTACACATTGCTCAACACAACAGAGATTATAAAAACTAAACAACTAACAAAAGATTTTCAAAGATAGCAACAGGCTTTAGCTGGTTTCAACCCACATATTCCTTTCCAGTGACTGAGGACACCCAGCATCCTGATGGTTAATATATTATAGACACCAGTAACGGAGATCACATTGGTATTGTGATTGAACTGTATATTGCAATTGTTATATTTGCTAAGTGAAATTACATTTGTATTGTGATTTCAGTATATTTTGGATTACTCTGCTAATTCAAAAAAAGTATCTAGCATCAATCATCTTCAAGTAAGTAAATCTGATATTAAATATTACACCCTCCACATATGTGTTTAAATGTAAATATCTAAAAGAAAGAAGCTGGTCAGAGACTATTGGACTCTGACACAGAGCAACCTCAGTGCAATCATCGGCCTCACTGCCATTTAGCTTGACCAAATGAATAATCAATATTGTTGTGCTCTGTCATAACAATGGCTCGAAGGGTACGAAAACTGTGATTAAGTGTGCCTGCAGCATTCAACCATTCCCAGACAAGTTATTAAAAACAGCGTAAAAGACTAGGGGAGATGACAGTCTTAAAGATGCTCAGTTAGAGACATTATACTTGAATTATCGTCTTTTAAAAAAACAGATCATCTCTACATTTATGGCTACTCACCAGACAGGTGAGTATCATAACATGCTACAAAATTGAGATTGTCTTCCTCGCAGGAAAAAAAAAGTTCCAAATTTCAGTGCTGTCTGCCATAAAAGGTTGTAATTGGGTTTGCATGGCAAGGTTTTGGTAGTGGGGGCAAGGGGGGAGGGCTGCATGGGTCGCTTCTGTGAGAAGCTGACAGAAGCTTCTCCTTGTGTCCGATAGAGCCAATGCCAGTCAGCTCCAAGGTGAACCCACCGCTGGCCAAGGCTGAGCTCATCAGCAATGGTGGTAGCGCCTCTGGGATAACAGAATTAAGGGGGAAAAAAAACACGCAACAACCTGCAGATGGAGAGAGGAGTGAGAATATGTGAGAGAAAGAACTCTGCAGACAACAAGGTCAGCAAAGAGGGGCAGGAGATAACTCCAGCTGCTGGAGCAGAGATTCCCTTGCAGCCTGTGGCGAAGACCATGGTGAGGAACGCTGTCTCCCTACAGTCCACGGAGGTCCATGGTGGAGCAGATCTCCACCTGCCGCCCATGGAGGACCCCATGCTGGAGCAGGTGGATGCCCAAAGGAGGCTGTGACACTGTGGGAAGCCCGTGCTGCAGCAGGCTCCTGGCATGACCTGTGGAGAGAGAAACCCCCGCTGGAGCAGGTTTGCTGGCAGGACTTGTGACCCCACAGGGGACCCATGCTGGAGCAGTCTGTTCCTGAATGACTGCACCTCATGGCAGGGACCCACGCTGGAGTAGTTTGTGAATAACTGCAGCCTGCGGAAGGGACCCAGGCTGGAGCAGTTCATGAAGAAGTGCCCATGGGAAGGACTCACACTGGAGAAGCTTGTGCAGAACTGGCTCCTGTGGGAGGGATCCTATGCTGGAGCAGAGAAAGAGTGCGAGGAGTCCTCCCTGTGAGAAGGAAGGAGCAGCAAAGACAACATGTGGTGAACTGACCGCAACCCCCATTCCCTGCCCCCCCTGCACTGCTGGTGGGGAGAAGGTAGAGAAAATCAGGAGTAAAGTTAAGCCTAGGAAGAAAGGGAAGCACGGTGGAAGGTGTTTTTTAAGATTTGGTTTTATTTCTCTTTATCCTACTCTGATTTGATTGGTAATAAATTAAATTAATTTCCCCAAGTCAAGCCTTTTCTTGCCCATGACAGTAATGGGCGAGTGCTCTCTCCCTGTCCTTATCTCAATCCATGAGCCTTTCATTATGTTTTCTCTCCCCTGTCCAGCTGAGGAGGAGGAGTGATGGAGATGCTTTGGTGGGCACCTGGCATCCAGCCAGGGTTGACCCACCACACAAGTCCACTGCAAATCCTAGCAAGGGTGGCAAACAATGGTTTCAGAGAAGCAGAAAAAGAGCCAGTATAAGAAAAGGTTAAGCTGCAACAGCTATAGGACCTGAAAAACAATGCCAGTTTCCACAGCAAAAACATATTCATCAGCTTGATTGCAAATTTTCAGCTGCCAGAATACTACCACTACATGAGATGTTATGCTTTTAAACCAGCTTTTCTGAAAATTTCCTCAGCAAGGCGGTACTGGCCACAGCACACAAGGGAGACAGA